ACTATCACCTGTATATAAAAATCTGGTGGAGGGCCGATTACGTAGGCGGAGAAATGGGTTGTTTTCGCTGTTGAGTTCCACTGACGGCGTGGCAAACAATTTCATTGAACAGAGCAACGATCCGAAGCTCTAAAATCTCCCGACTGAAAAAGCCCTTCATGTAAATAGGGCAAGAGCGGTTTTTAAATATCTTATTTAAATATGTTAACTTCTCTTGTATGGTAATATACCTTTGCCTTAAACTGCGCTGAAAAAGTGTATTTACACAGGTATCTATTTTTTTGTTGTTGTTGTAAGTCATGTTTATCGAATTGATCCCCTTACAACACCATTCGAGGTCGCTTTCCTATGTCATTTCGTATATATTATTAGGACCGAAGCCTAAACACGACTTGCAGGCCTATTTTTAACTCTTGCTTCTACGCTTTGGTTATGTTAAATATGTTCAATATGTTCAATATGTTCTAGTCTAAGCTTCAGTCGCCCTGGGGTATATTCAGATCAAAAAGAAGCTTAGAACTCTTGTGGATTCTCTAACACTTCCGAGCTATGAGATCGTTGAAAATAATGGCGCTGACTTTCTTCGCCGAGAATCAATTGCAACCTTCGATTCCCCTGTTTGATTCTTTGAGGGAATTCCATGTTTTCTGAAACTTGCCGTTATCTTTCCATAAGTTCTTATTAATCTTTGACCATTTTTCTTTATGGTGCACTTTCAATCTTTGCCATCACAGTTAGCGTGTTATTTCCTCTTGCATCATGTAAGATGTCACGGCCGCTTCGCGTGACGGATTCACGCAAGTTATCACCGAATTTTAGCTCCGTGAATTGAAATTTATCACGCAAGTTGTCACAGTACGTTGATGGTGGAGCTGACTCCGCATGAATGTCTGGCATTCTAAGCCCGTCATTTCTTAGTTCCGGAAGGTTAGGACTTGGTTTGCACTCCACCAACTCATTTAGAACTATAGACGGTACAGAATTGCGCCGTCTCCTTTCACGACGCTTCACTCCAGATTCCTCTTGGGTTTCCTGTGACATTGCGCACCCCATCAGCTCCAGAGCAACTTTTCTATAGCGTACGTTTCTGTAGAAGTAAAGTACAGGATCTAGAAGTGAGTTTAGTTGGAGGATCAATTCAGCCCATCGGTTTGCCGAAATTGTTCGGAAAGAGGACGTCGATGACGCGAAGAAAAAGACAATAATAGAGGGAACACCAGAAATCAAAATGGCAACTGTTAGCAAAAGCATTGTGTATGAAATTTTATTTTCGGCTGCCGCACGGACTGAAACATTTTCTCGAGAGTGACGCCTTCGGAGCCGTTTTTGTATTTGGACATTAATCCTAAGATAACAGTACCCAATGACCAAAAAGCCGATTATCCATAAGATAATTAGGATGAAAACAAGGATTTGCGAGACGCTGTAGGGAACACCCGCGCCTACTAATGTGGCAAATATAGCAGCTGTCGATAAAGTTGTTATCCAGGGAAATGCCACGTAGTTCTTAATTCGTACCTTTGAAACCATAACTTTATATTCCGCATATTTTACCACTGCTGCATACCTCTCCTTTGCAATCAGAATCAAATGATAAAATGATGCGTTGAAGGTTGAATAAAGTACAAAGCCGGCAATGCGATCGATCGCACAGATTTTTTCCTCAGACACAGTTCCATGAAGGATCAGTGCATCAAGGAAGATTGTCAATGGCAGAGAAACCGTGCCCACTATGAGATCAACGCACGCCAAACTAGCAAGTAAAATGTTGGAGTTTGTTTGTAATTTCTTGAATTTCTTGACCGCCACGATTACTAATGCATTCAAAACAATGATAATTGGACAGGCAATGGTTGTTACCGCAACTGAAAGCTGCAGAGAAAGTGTTTGCTTTAGGTCCCAGATGAACAGTGGATTGTTCGGGCAACTGACGAACACTGACCTGGAGGAATTCGCAAGAGATTCTTGGTTGTTGCCGCTCACATTCATGTCGATCAACACCAAATGTTGATGATCGTGCACTTTTTAACGTTTAATGATCTGTGGTTGGTGACGAATGGTCAAAAAATTAATGTTTTCTTGCTTAAGATGTTAACTCTTTTTCAAGGAGGTAATTTCCGTTTTAAAAACAAACAGATTTTAATTGGAAACTTTCCCGCAAAAAGAAAATGAAAAACACCAACGATGATGAAAACGAAAAACACTAAAGATGAGAACCATCCAGCTGGTTGACTCTTAAGTCTTACACATTTTCTTTCACTCTCTTAAGCCACGAATCGGTAAATTTATCTGCGAGTAAAAAGGAAAACAGGATATTGCGTAAAACAAATATTTAAGGGTGATTGAGAAATTGTTTTTAAGTAACGATACAATAATGCTACAATAAATTGTAGCAGCAACCTTGAAATTACCATAAAGGTTTTTTTCCTTATCACCTTTATTAAAAACATATTAAAAACATTTGTTATGGCAAACAATACCCACTAATTGACTCCAACTCGACTTCAACTCGAATCCGGCCTTTGACCGGATTTTCCGCTCATAAAGGATTAGAGAAAAGGAGAAAGAAAGAAAGAAGGTAGCGAGGTTTATTAAGATAAGCAAATAATCAATCTCTCTTGGACGATGATTTTTAAACGTCGAGGTCAGTCTTTTCGGTGAGGTCCGCAACGCGTGTGAAAAAGAAAGTCAGTGAAAAACAAAATGATGTTAGCGCATTGCCTGGGAGTGAGGTGCACTGAAATTATTCACCCTTTACACCCTAACATCAGTAAGCACTTTCTCCATACTGTTCTCTGTTTAATTCCTAAGGAGCTGACAAGGAGAATTTGTTTGACAATCAAGAGCTTTTTTTGGTTGGTGATCATTTCCTTTATTCTCGTGACCTTAATGTTTGATTCAGGGTGATATTGTAAGGAGAAATTAGAAGCTGGTCACTCTTCAGGTTTAAAGGGTTAATAATGGTAATTGAACTGGGGTGGAGGACAGTTTGGTTTGAAATTATACGAGTGATTTCAACATAGAATGAGTGCGCAGCGCAAGCTTAATTTCAAATCGCAAGTATGATCTCAGACCGCAATTGCACGGTACGCGTACGAAGTTCAGTTACCACTTTATTACATCCATTTAGAAATCGCAAAATTCAGTCGCTCAAATACAGGATTTTTGGAGTGTAGAAATAGTTTAATGATTTAGTACTGAGCTGGTTGATAAAAAGTTGCAATGTTGTTTTTTATTTTTCCCTAACGTAAATGGTTTTTCTCTAAAAGCCTGGAAATCAGATTGGTTTCTGTGATGGTGAAGGTTTCTCATTTGCTGGGAAAAATTGTGAATTAGAGCAAAAAAAGATGCAATTCGGGAATAATCTGCAACAATAAGAGCTTACCAGATTGCAAGAATCACTGGTTATTTCAAAATGGATGTAATAATGTTTCCTAATTGAACTGAAAACTATTTAATTTTTTAATGCATTCAAGTGTGTCAAATATTTTATAATTGGGTGGAAAAAATTAATAACAATCTGCCTCCAGCTGAGAGAGAATTTTTATCGAACTGGAATAATTTTCTGACATTGAAGACTACAACTGTTTTTTGGTTCCAAGAAATTTCTGATGGAAGTACTTTTCAAGCATTAAAATATGTTTAAATTTTTCTTCCTAAAGAAATTCTTCTTCGCTTGAACGAAACAGCTGGTGAATAGAGTGTAATTACCTTTTTTGGGAGGAGTCTGGGAATGAGTATGTGAAAAAGAGGACATGTTGAAAAAAAAAAGAACGTATGCTGGTTAATTCTGCGCCGGACAAGTCTCGCGGCGAAGCCCTTTAATCAAAATTTGAACCACTGACTATTCTCCCTAAGAACTTGCTCATTTTTTAGAGGGCAGAAATAAAATATTAAGTGTATTTTACAACATAAGACATCTTCTAGTCAGCATTTCCACGAACTGACTAGTGTAACTGATTTCTCGATGTGATCCTGCATCAGCGTGCGAATATCAAAATCTGAAAGCACGTGGAAAGTTTGGAGTTTTACTCGTGGTCGAGAACAACGATAAGCATTTCGAGTTGATCAACCAATTGTTTTAACATTTTAAACACGGTATTTAAGTATTTTAAAGAGAAATATCTTCTGCTACACTTCAGTGCCAACACATAATTCATCAGCTTGCACAACGTTAAACTGTAACACGCTTGTGCAGTTGACTGTTAATACACGATCTAATTGTGTCATTAAGAACACGCTCGAATACGAGTGGTACGTTTTCTAAATTCACAGTCGCTGAGGTTCCACTCCTCTCCTTTCAAGGACATTTACAGTATCTGTGTTTCCTTTTGCCCATTAACCTTTAAATTACAATTAGTTCGAAACCATGACGCGATCATTACATATCTTTTTTGGATAAAAGTGCTCTGGAAAATCTACAGGTCAAAAAAATTGAATGTGAAGGTGATATCGTTCCCTGATCCACAATCCTCTTGGTTTGCAAACCGTAAAGCTCTGGTCAAACCCGTTACTTTCAATTTGCACAGAATCTAGTTTCTCATTGCATTTCTGTTTTTGTTTGATTTACCAGCTGATCAAAGTTGAGGAGAAATTCTGGATTTGACCAGAGTCTCCTTCACCCGTTCCTCCGGACAAAGGTTACGAAGGCTCTAGAAGCGAGTTTGGGGCAGAGACAATTCTAGGGCATTGGCGTCTTGACACGTTTACTATATCTGTGCGTGAGAGGACTACGCAGCTTGGGCTCTCTCTTCTTGTAATGTTCGTTGAAATCCAGTCTAAAGCTAAGGAACCTCAAGCTGACATCTTGGTGACTAGTGAGCATCATAAGAAACTGTTGAACCATATCCTGGAAGAAAAGAATATTAAAATCAGTGTTAATATCTCAGATAGGCGCATTCCGCACAGAGGAATTTTCAATGGTGTGTTGGAAGTAATCCAGGATTGGTTTGTTTTTGCTTTACTTCGCTCTGTGATTGGTCCTGTAAAAATCGTGCCACTCTCTCCACCAATCAGAAGCAAAATCAAAACCGCTTTCCCACACCCCAAGCAGTTTGTCTGTTTTCACTCTGAGCTCTCATTGGTTAGTGTTGGTGTAAACTCAGTTTTGCCCTGATTTTGGTCGCTGGGATGACTTTGGTTTTAGTTTTTCGACACCCAATTGACTACTGCTCTATTGGCCAATCAGAACGAAGGAGAATTCTACCAGGAGCCAATGAGAACCAAAAGTAAAAAAAAAAACTGTCTAGAGCGCATGCTTACCTTTTTCTGCACCAATCACAGGGCGAAGTAATGCAAAATTATTGCAGTACTGTATCGCTTTTGACACTTGTCTTAAAATTGCTCTGGAGGAAGTGAACTATCATTATGGATTAAAAAAGACTGGCAGTTTCAAATAGGCGCTAATCTATATTTTCACAATAATCGTAACCTCACCTGGTAAGACTTAGACAAAACTTTTAGTTGAGCTCGAGTATCTGGAATAATGTTATCTACAAACTTCACTGATCGCTTCCTCTCCTCTTCTTCGTCCCATTCGGTCAATCCCCACTCTCCCTGTTCGAAGGAAAATAAAAAATACGCTTTGGAAACTCTACCTGTCTAACTGAGTAAAACTTATATCATTAAGCTATCCTTCATCAATCCCTTAACCTTTTAACTCCCAAAAGTGATTGACATCAACCTTCTTCCTATGATACCATACATTATTCAGCAAACAGGTGATGAGAATTTTAAAATTTATCAGGTAAAAGCTGCTATCTTGATCTAGCACCAGGTTCGCATAACTAATTTGCGAGGAAATGTGTAGCAGCTAGAGAGGAGAATTAAGAATCTGATCTTGGGAGTTAAAGGGCAAACCGTTTAATCCCTAGGAAACTAAGATTTTATTTCTACTCACACTACCCCCCCCCCCCCCCCCAAACAAACGTTCAGGCCAAAAGAATAAGGGAACTGATCACCAACTAAAGAAGCTCTCGATTGTTTAACAAATTCTCCTTGTCAGTAACATAGGAATAGTAGAGAACAGTACGGAGAATATCCATCCTGTAGGGGGGAGGGGGGGGGGTGGTGGTGGTAAAGGAATAAACCGTCCTCAAATCAATTCTTTTATGGCCAAGGTCTGATTACTACTTCTTCTTTCTCAGTTTCGCTATTTAACGTTTCCTTGCAAATTTATTGAGAGGTATTTCATGATTATTTTATCTGACTTTTTCACGACAGCAGCCTCTTGTCGATTAACTGATCCATAATTAATTTTCAGGATCGTTTTTAGTGAATCAATCATCGATGTTGTCATAGAACTTAACATATTAATTTCTTCAGGAAGTTTGGCAGTAAGGGGAAACAAAGCACGATCTGACCTCATCGGTTCGCAGTTCCACAGCTTTTTCCAATCTCTGCCGTGACTGTAGTTCAGCGGTTGCAGCAGAAAAGAAAGACTCTTGAGCATTCTGGAACTGGATGATTAAATCAAAGATTGTCCGCAGTTGGGTCAACATCGGCTGTAGAGAAATGAAAGGTGCCACACCTTGAGCACATCGAATGAAAACGATGAAAATAGTTCAAAATAGTAAAATTCTCAAGATGAAGAAAGGTGTTAACATTTTAACAAATAGATTTTCTGTTCTGCAATAGATGACAGATGACTTCAAAAACCAATCACAACTTGGGCGCCGTGTTTTCCCGCGCTTTTGACAGCTTGGTCGGTTTGATCAGTTCTCATTGGCTCTTGAAGGTATTTTCCTTTCTCCTGATTAGCTGTTGTGGTTGGTTTTACAACAATCAACCGAAAAGTGCTCTTTATAATCCACGAAGAACTTAATAACTTACTCTTGACTCGGCGTCTAAAAGGCAGCGGTTGAGAACCTGGTCCAGGAATGTTTCATGTGCAGCAATAATATGATCCAAATCACTGGCTTCTGCTACTTGTTTCTTCAGGTCTGCCCAGCAACATTCCAAAACCTGAATACAATAGACAAGAAAGATGT